TAAGATGATAATATATATATTTAAATTTCCATTATCACTCTCATATCCAAGTATTTTATTAAAAATAAGGGTTTAATTTATGGTGCAGAGTTGCACCAGGCTGCACCAGGAAAGAATCCTGCAGATGCATGCAGCTTGGCATTACCACTGACAAACTCTAAGCAGGGCTGAAAAAGTACAACTCACAAGTGGAAAAGTATTTAAATCAGAAAAAAGCATATGAAAAAAGTAAAGAACCCTTTAACCCCAAGAACAGCATTCTGGCAATGTCAAAAAGTGAACCACACCTGTATCTAACCGAAATGAGTGCCACGGTTAACACCACAATTCATTAACCTGCAGAACTGACTCATAGGAGGAAATGCCAACAAGACAAACCAACACAGGCAGAAGTACTCCCTCATAAACCTTCACCCCAAAGCCTGCATGAGCAAGCTTAGTTTGCAAATAGCTACAGATGACCAATATGCCATCTTCAGAGTCACTTTTCTGAGCATAATCCCACTGGAAGGCTGCCAAGAGACGGATAGCAAAGCCTTGGGTTTATTACTATACAGGCCATGATTACAGGGATAAAGCAGCCACTCCAAGAGCTGAGCCCTCAGAAAAAGGATGCCACTTTGAGAGCAGGAAACCCCAAGAAAGCAGTGATTTTAGTCAAATTGGTATGACAGCAAACACGGAAGAGACCAAATTCCAGGGTAATTTTTTGGCTTCATTCTCACCCGCAGGTCCCCTGTTCCTGGGAAGTATTCACCATACTTATGAAAGGACACAGTCATCACACGGTCTGTCGTATAAAAAGCTTCCTCCACACCATCTCCGTGGTGGATATCAATGTCAATGTACAACACTCTTTGGTGATACCTAGGATCAGAAAGGAGTCAAAATACTGCATTTCTTTAGAGCAGAAAATGTCTCCACCAGCACAATTTACTGTGGAGGAGAGGAAGGAACTTGGTGCTAACTCCCAGACTGCCAGCTACCAGGCAGCTGCCTCTCCAGGGTCTACAAGCAAAAGAGCTGTGAAGAACAGACACGAGCCTAGGTCACCAGTGGAACAGAACCACAGAGGAAAATGAAGTGGCTTTTGCTGCTGCAAGTGGTCTTTGAAGGCAGACTCAACTCAGTTTATTCAGGTTCAGCCAACAGACTGCATTTTTATGTCCAAGCCTCCTACCGAGGTTTGCCTTGAGCCAAAAGCTGTCACATATTAGAGCTGTGGCCCATTATCCAGGGTGGGTGGTAGAGGGAAGGGTCTAAAAGCAAGCACACAATGCTCCAAGCTTCCTGCATAGTGTCACCCCTAGGCACAGCCCTTTGGGAGAGAGGGTACTGCACCCCAAAAAATAGCTGATTAAGCCCTCCTGGGAAAACATAGCTTAAAAAAGCAACAAAAAGAAAAGATTGGGAACAAAGCACTCAGAGGAAATGCGGCAGAATGGACAAACAGAAGAGGTAAACAGCAGTGCCCATACTTTAAGAGCTCCAAGATAGCCAAGACGATATCATTGACATAACAGAAGCCAGAAGCCTCTGACTTCTTAGCGTGGTGAAGGCCTCCTGCCCAATTCACTGCAATGTCTGTCTGCTGCTTGTTCAGCTTCACAGCACTGGCTGTTGGGAGAAGAATTACACAACATTAGCACAAGAGCAAAGGCCTGTGACAGAGACCAAAGGGTAAACCACTGGTCCCTTATGATCACCTCTCTGCTTATGTGTGCATTTGTGTACTTCACAAAGCACAAGCCCAAGGATTTAACACTGGATGCCTTCACAAATGACCAAAAAGCAAGGGAAGAGACGTGCAGCTCTGTTTTGTGTGCACACGCTTTTCATAGCTTCCCACTTGCACCTCAGAGCATGAAAGCTCCACAAACAAATCCATAGGATTCTAGCTGGGGTCACAGCTGAAGACAGCCTAGAATTCTCAGTGCCCTGAACAAAAAGATTTTAACAAAAGGTTTTATCCAACATAAATATAGGTCATTCACTGAATATGCATTCAGGCAAAGGAAGTTCCCTTCCCCCAATCCCTTCAAAAACTTTCTGCGAACCCTGACAATTTCCCAGATTCAAAACAAATTATATATTCTGTGGAATTAAGACCAGAGAGCACGGAGCTACTTCAAAATATGCTGCAGGCAGTGCTTGTCTATACTGCTGAGCTACATTACAGGAAATAGAGACTTCTAGATGTCAGCATGGGAGTAGCAGCCACAAAGCTTTAATGCCTTGGCACAGTGATACCAGTCTTTCTGCAACAAAGTACTTGAAAATAGCAAAAGCATTTCAAATGTTCCAGCTTTCAGGGAGCTTACTGAAACCTTGCAGGTTCTGCTTTGCCAGGTGTCCATGAGACAATAGCTTTTTGTTAAAAACAACAGATAAAGTAGCCCTTGTTTTTCCTTTCCAGGTTCTGCCCTGTCCCGAGCAAGGTTTTTACAACTTCTTTTTTTTTTTCCTGTAAAGCTTACATTGATTTTTTATTACACCCCTGTTGCTGCTGTGGTTTTGTTTTAACTCTATCGCTGATGATGTTGTTATACCGCTTACAGAGCTTCACATACTCAGTGAAGTAACCTGGACTGCATAGACAAACGTAGAGGGATCTGTCAATACACAAGGCTTGAACTCCCACATGGGAAGAAATCTGGATCTAATTATTAAGGAAATCAGAAATATGTTCACAGAGTTTCCCCACCACCACCTACAGCAATGTACTTCCCAGACAGAATGACATTACACACATCTGCTTAAGAGAAAAAGGAAAGAACATACGACTCATGAGCTTACCAACTGAACCTCCAGCAGAGAGCTGACAGAACTCAAACAGCCCATCAAACACAGGGCAGTCTTCCCCAACATTAACTTGAAAAGAATACAAAAGAGTTAGTAAGACAAAACTCCAAGTGGCAAAGCTTATACCACCACTCTGATTTAAAAAGCTAGCCAGGTAAGTGATCAACAGTTTTAATCACTGATAAAACATTAACGTAATCAACCTGAGGATGTCCGACAGGCAAAAAACGGCTTTGCTGTAGGGAAGATGCTCTTGACTTGCAAGAAAATAGGAAAGCAGGTCCCAGGAGCACTGGTGAGAGCAGCGCTCCATCTACCGGGGATCCAGAAACCAGGCAATCGTCGGGGGGAAAAGAAGGCGGCACAGAGCTGTGTAGTAATACCCACACACGTCCTCAGCTGCAGCTCAAGGTGAATTTACAGTACTCTGCTCAGGCAGCACATGCTGGTTACCACAGGCACATACAGGCTGTGCAAAATGGGGACCAGCACCCCTTGCTACCCCACACAGGCCATACTGCTGCCTGGGCACCATGTTTTTGGAGGGTGGAGGTGAGGGGTGTGTGTGATAGTGCTGTTTGTGACTACAGAGTGACACCAAGCTCCGTTACACAACCCCACAGCAAGGGGGAAAGGGTTTTGTTCCTGTTTCCTGCTGTATTGCTGACGAGGAGCTGAGAAAGCAAACAGTGCCAGCGCTGCAGGAGAACATGGGGAATGGCAGGGAGTGGTGGGCACTGGCCTAGAAGTTCACATCCACATCTGATTTGTTACACTTTGTACATTCCTTTTACTTCATATTGGGCAGCCAGTTTTTAAGTTCTCAGCAATACTGTAGTTCTGGCCTAGATAAATTTTTTACTGTAAGTATTTCCCTGATTAAAAATTAAAACAGTAACAACAGACTTACATTGAATCTAGATTTTGCAAGATTTACTTTCACAAGCAAACAAAAAATAAATCTGTATTTTTGTAACAACATCTGTAGAATGTTTTCTTCTGTGCTTAATGAGAAAGGCACCACCAGCACAGTTCTTGCAGCACTAGAAACTCATCAGTGCACAGAGTCCACAAAGACTGTGTGACAAGGGAGTCTGAATGGTCCCAGTTTGGGACAGGCAGACCAAGAAGAAAGCAATTGTTCCTGCTTTCCAATTGTTTCAGCAGGGCATGGCAACTGGCAGAGTTTGAATCATCAACTCAAAGAGGTGGTTGGAAGCTTTCCCTGTTAAGTGAGAATAATTTAAATCATCGATTTCTGCATGCTTCCCATTATAGCAAATAAAATTTCTTGCCCTTTAGGTGACAGAGCAGCTCTCCTAACTCCTCAGGCAGGAATGGGGCACAAGCAGAATGAAATTAGAGCCTGTTCATTACCTTTACTGCCCCTCAGAACCTTGTGGGCAGCACTGACAGTATTTGAAGGCATCCCTCTGCTATACCTGACAAAGACAAGAGCTACTGTGCAAAGAGGTGACAGTTGGGCTTCTTCCCCACCAGGAGATTCAAAGCAGCCAGTACTACTAAGGAGGGATTTAATAACAGGGGTCAATCACTGACTGTAGGCATAAATTCCTGGCATAAGACAATGAAGGGCATAGATGCTCCTTCTTCCTTGCAATGGGTGGATGAGAAGCTTTGTTTCTCAGAGAGCACAATCAGAGAGAGACCAGCATCCAAGGTGGACAGCAGCTACCCTACCCTCAAAGGGAAAGCTGAAGCATCAGGTAGGCTACAGAGATCTGCCACTGGACTTGGGAGCAGTGACCTTGTCTCCTACATCCCTCATCTCTGTTCCGAGCAGCCTGTGCTAGTTCTCTAGCTACACAGAGGCTACTATTCTGAGGTCTTGTTGAAGCAGAGTTCTGCCTTCTGCATGTTTTAAGATTAATTTTCATATTTTGCCTCCTCCAGATAAAAACAGTTCTGTGGAATTAGAGTACAGAAAACGTTGAATACCAGAGAGCAGAGTGGGTGTTTTTGAGCTGTATCTGCTCCAGGGGCAAAGCATTCAGTTTGTGTAAATACGTACTTTGGTATATTAAGACATATAATTTACAGTAGAGAGTCTTTCAATGCATGTTACTCATGAACTACATTACCCATTTTTGCTTGTGCCTTAATACCTGTCCCCTTCAGCTCATACCACATTTCCATGTGCCTCTACTTCAGACTCAAGACCCACAGCTCCTCTAAACTGCAAACTACACTTACTCCACATAAATAAAACCCATGGGCTAAGAGCTTTTTTCTGCTCTTGAGGACTGCAGTATGCAAGGCCAGAATACTGTTTAAATGAACCTTGAGCCCTCCCCATTATTTGTACTTGCTAGAAATATAGTTTGCCGCAGCCATTGCCAAAGAACTTCAGCTCAGAGTTGCAGAGACCCCACAGAAAGGTTTCTGTAACATTAAAGTCAGCTTTAAAGGCCCTTCCCTGGACTGGAGAGGTTGGAACAAGAGATTACATCACAAAATAAACCATTCTAACACCAAGTGGACAGGTATTACTGTGCATCTCAACCCTCCCCTACTTCCAAACTGCCACTGCCCTGAGAGTTACTGCAGATTTTGAACACAACTGGTAAGTTGTGGATGGGTTTTGTCTGTTTGTTTTAAATTACACAACCCTTTCCCCACCTCAATACCTCTGGTTTAAGATAAGCAATAACACAAAACAGGCGCAGCTCATAAATGGAAGCACAGTCATCTCTGAGCCAGGAAGACAATTTTGAAGAGTTTCCATCAAAACACAAGACCAAGAAAAGACAGCCAGGTCAAAGGGTTTTCCTCAGCTCTTCTGGCATACTGGCTTGAGAGGGACCCGCTCTTAAAATGCAGAGTTTGCAAGAAAAATCAAAACCAAAGTCAGGATAAAGACAATTTCCTGTAGTTCTCCCTACTCTTTTTATCCCAAACCTCTGAAGCTGGCCGGGGATTCCCAGAACTACAAGCTTTAACAATGACAGGAATAAAGCTTACATCTTTGCATCTGCTTGCTGTACTCAGACATGTTATCTGGGCGAATAGATCTCAGAAATTTTATGTAGTCATCACTGTGGTACTTGGTCATTTCTTCTGCATTTGCCTTGTGAGGGCGCTGCAAGGATAGAAAAAGAGCAAGGCTCAATTTGCAAGACATCTCTCTCCCTAATTCCCATTTCCAATCTCAGATTTACTCTCAGGAAGAGCAAAAAACTCAAAGCAGCATCATTAAACAAGAGAAACTATTTTCAAAGGTTAAGAATGTCACTACCAGAGAATGGCATGTATTACATATCTAAACAAAGAAAGTATTTAAGTTGAAGGGAGAAAAGCAATTTTCCAGTCTCCAAAGTTTATCTGAAGAACATCTCATTACAAGCAAGCAGAAGAAATACATCAAAACTACTGGTTCCTTTCCTTTCTTTTCTCCTTTCCTTTCCCTTCCCTTCCTTCTTGGATTATCAACAGAGAACTTACAAGTCTGAAGCATCAAACTTAAAACCTAACACCTAAACTGAGGTCTTTCACATCCGTTTCTCTTCACGACCAGCCCTACACTTACATATATTTCCATCTTCCTGTACAGGCCATAGTTCAGCAGTAGGTTGTGGGTCATCCGGATCCTGTGTGGCTTCATTGGATGTCCCTGGCCATAATAGTAGTTTCCAACATCACCTAGGAGCAGAAAGGATTTTATTATAGCAGGGAAAACTATGAATTCCTTCAATCGGAATCACAGTCGAGCCATAAATCCACCAGGTCATCTGTCATTTTATTTGTCCTTCAGCAGCATTCTGTTCACAGGGGAATAGGGTCTCCCATCTCATTCACACAGGTATCTGCATGGATTCAAAAAAGCTTATCCCAGACTCAAATAAGACGGACATTTGTAAATTAGAGTATAGCCAGACAAGGAATTTTTTAACGCCAGTTCTGGAGAAGGCAATCTAGGAAGAGCCTGAACAACCTGCACAAGAGGAGGGAGCTCCAGCTTTCCTACGCAGGACGAGCTTTGGGCACCACATCTGCCCATCCTCACTCAAACCACTCCAGCTCTCCAGTGTCCTCTCCAGGCCCACTGTGGTACGTCACATCTACAGAGCTCACAGGTTTCACTGTGAAATGCAGCCACACTCTGAGCAGAAACCTGTACGCCAAGAGGCATGCGAGTCTAATCCCAGCTCAGACAGTGACTCACCAGTAGGAGCACGTAGCCTCTGCCTCAGTTTCTTACTATTTCCCTAGTAGAAACAAGATACAAATTCTGCCAATAAGCAAACACCACAGCAGCTGTAGTTTTGCCATTTTCACCCCTTATTATTGCTTGAAATCCTGCAGAAGAATCCCAGTCCCACACACACCCCCCTGATGAGCTATCCCGTGGGCACCAGCATTAATGAAGTTGGCTTCCTGCAAATATATCCCACAGGTCCTCTCCCTACTTGGATTTTCTCCTACCTAAGCAAAAGCTGAGCTCATGCTGCACTCTCCCACAGTAGGCACTGCTGTTCCCCCCCCCCCGCCCCGAGTACTTATTTTCATGAAACTCAGAAATTTAACTTGCAGATTTCTGCCTCCTGCCTGATTTGACTGCAAGAGACAAGAGTCAAAACTTGTAGAGAGCAGGAAATGCAGACAGCTACACACACCAGCAATATAAGGGTGCTGAGGTGCTGGCACAGGGTGCCCACAGAAGCTGCGGCTGCCCCATCCCTGGCAGTGTTCAAGGCCAGGTTGGACACAGGGGCTTGGAGGAACCTGCTCTAGCGGAAGGTGTCCCTGCCCACGGCAGGGGTTGGAACTGGATCAGCTTTAAGGTCTTTTCCAGCCCAAACCAGTCTGGGATTCCATGATTCTACAATAGCACCAAGCAAAGCCTCATTTTCTTTGGAAACCAGACTAAGCTGTTCATGTAGTTGTACAACTCCCCATCAGTTTAGGAAGCAGGAGATCCGGTCTGGTCTGGCTGGTGACCCAGTTGGGAGTATTAGTATTTCATCACCAGTCTTAACATTCAGAAGAAACTGCTACTTCCTCAGTGCACACAAGTGTAGTTTTTCCTCCTGTGGATATGGCTCTATTTTTTAGTTAAAGTAGATGCAAACAGTGCAAATCCTACACCCAAACAACTTTGCTGCTGGAGTTTACCTGTCCTGTGGCACTATGATGAAGTAGTGTTCTCTGCATGAAGATATTTTAGTGGGGCAACTATACCTTCAGTAAAATCAGGTTACATCAAGCTTTGCGAACCCCGCAAGAGATGCATAAGACCCTATCTAGAAAATACAAGCACGAAACTTCACGAAGCTTTGAAAAATCATCATCTTCACCTTGGGCTGCCAGAAAATACCCAGGGCAAACCCTGAGCTCCTCCAGAGCCTGTTGATGTTCACTAAACACATCCCACCATGAGTCCACCAGAGTAGCAGACTAGCTTGTCTGCTCATGGATGTCAGTGCAGATGAAGCGTGCAAACTCAACAGATACCTCTTCCTCTTTGCTAGGGTTAAGCAAGTCCCTGCATGGGGAGCTTATAAAGGAGAAGCAACCGTTCCAGCCCAAACCCTTGCACACACCTCAGCACCCGTCAGGTTTTCTAGGAAGGACCCTTAGGATACCTGATTACCTTTTCCTGCATCGCACCGAGACCCTTCCCTGAAGTTCAGGCTCCTTCTCCAGCCCAGGATGCCCTCCAACCATCTGGAATTTATCGAAGACCCACACACCACCCAAAACAGCTCCCAGGGACCTCCTTTCAGGGTGCAATTACCGTGCTAGATTGCGCTGCTCAGTGGAAAACAAGACGACCTTAACAAACTAGCCTCCCACAAATGCAGATCATGCCTTCCCCAGGAAGAAAAGCACACTTTCAGCGTAGGACACACTGCGTCTGTTTGCCAGCCACTCATAAAAGAGCAGTGGAAAGAAGGCCCTAAAACCTCACCACAGAGTAAATTAGTGAGGGCAGCTATAGACAAGAGCGCGTAATGCTAACTTCACGTAGCTACCATGCAATAAAGACCACAAGGAAAGCATCTCTCTTAGCATTTTCAAGCAAAATGACTAGTTATTTCATATTTAAGACATCACTGTGTGCCTTTAAAGATTATATCTTGTCCACAAACTGACAGGCTGCTTTGTGAACATGTTATATTCCAAATCCAGGGATAAGTTTGGACATAGAGACCATTTTTTATCCAGCATCCAGATCGTGTGCACGTGTGTGGCATTCTGGCATGTCCCACAAGCACTCTAAGTTTAAAACAGGCATTTTAGGGGCCAGGGCTCCAGCACTCCCTTGTATTTTGATATGATGGGCGTTGCACAGAGATCAGTTGCATGGTGAAATTGGGCTCAGTTTCACTGCACCTATTGCTCTAATCCAGATTCCTCATCATCCTGCCCTCCTGGAGGCACCGGCTGAGTCAGAGACCCTGCAGGACTGTCATTACAGGTTGCAAACCTGTTTAGATTGACTTGTCCAGAGAAATAAAAACCCTCACTACATGCCTGACACATGCAGCAGTTTAGCAGAGCCCCACTTCACTGCTAGAACACTGAGCACATCCACTTAGCAGGAAAACTTAGTGAGGAAAAGTGTTTTATTTCACAGACTGAAAATCATGAGGAAACAGAACTGCACAATACCTTTCACAGACTCTGTTAAAAATGAGCTTGCCCATAACCAAGGCATCAGTTCACCCCTCCAAAGGGAGGAGGTTGTGAACGTGCAGATTGTGATTTCTCCCACAGACTATGGGTAGAAGTCACACATGATACCCAGCTTGGGATTTTGCCAGCCCTAACACCCCATTACTTCCTGACTCCAATGGGATGATTATGTAGGCCCAAAGAAATGTGTCCTCAGCCTCTTAACACAAAACAAAAAGAACCAGTCTAGGGTCCAGCCAAGTTCACAGCCAGAAGGAAACGGTGTTCCTAGACACAGGATACTCCCTACAACCAGTCATGCAGTCGATCTGGCTCCTCACACCTTCAGCTTATTCTTTTCTTAACAGCAATACCACTATCCCAAACTGGAGCTTCAAGAGAGCCACTTCTTCATAATGTTGCTTGAGGAAGCTTCATGTCCCCACAACCCATCCTGTCCCCCAGCACTTCCCCGAGCACTCCCCATCCTCCCAGAAACCTTCTTCAGCATCTCAGCATGGCTCCCAAAGCCTCTTGTCCTCACACCCCTCCCCGCCCCATCCTGGACCACTTACAGCCTTTCCCCACCTCTGAAGTACCTACGTTTCCATATCTCCCCACCCTACCCTATCCCTGTCTCTCCCCAATATCGCTCCCATCTTTTCCTCCCACTCCTCCCTTTCTCCACTCCAATGCTCCCCCATATCACCTCCATGCTCCCACATCCTTCCTATGCCCTCCACCATCCACCATTCCCCAACCCTGCTACAGTCCACACATAATCCTGCCCATATTCATGCCCTGACACCTATACTTCCATGCCCCTGCCCTCCAATGTGGCCCCCAGCCCC